TGACGGGCTCTTCAGGGGAACAAAAGGAACTAAATCTATTAGGGAACGTGAAGCGAATCAAAAGGCTGCTGCTGGAGTAGATATGGCTCCAACTTCAAAAGAGAGTGCCGGGCCTGTGACGACAAAGAGGGAGAACTGGCCGAAAAAGGAAAGATTCACCGGCGTGCAAACTAAAAAAGTGCCCCATGTAGGGCTTTTGTTTAATGGGCCAAAGAACTTGGAAAGAAACCACAAAAAATTATATGGCTGTGAGGTGCATTCAAATGAATTTAGAGCATGCCAGGGCATTTACGGATGTTCTGGCTCATAGATTTGTGAAGGATTACCTTAACATATCTCTTATTTAAAAGTCTTACAGAGCGGAGCATCAGATTATGGGCCTAACGGGTGTACTATGGTATGATAATACAATTGGGGGTAGGCCTAGAGTCTGCATCTTATTCAACAAAAGACTTCAGATATCTTCCCATTCTAGGTTCCAAGGATCAGGCAGTTGATGAAGGCGAGGCCCTCTAGGGGCTGGACAGAGTTTGTTGTATGCTCATCCTACCTCCCGGGTGATTGTGCTCGCATAGACGACTAATTGAAGGACCTAGTGGATTTCTGTGGAAGGGGGAACTTCCAGTTGATATACGAAGTAATATCAATGCTGGCACACTGTCCGGAGCGGTGGTATTACATTGGTATTACATCGGAGGAGCGGGGATACAAATAAAAGAGGTGAGTGCCTACTTCAATTTATATATTTATAGTAACAAATTAAAGATTATGGATGAGGGCAACAGGCCGACATTCGTAAATGCCATTAGGGAAGGGATCTCTAGATATCCTGGTCTCCGGGAGTTTGGCAGAAGAAATGTATCTGGTGCTTCAATCCACAGATTGATGTTAATGGTGGATATCGAACTGATCAGCGAGGCCCTGACGGTGGCTATCACTAGTGTCTATTATGAGAGTTGTCCCGCCAAGCCGAGGCGCAGCAATAGGAGATGCGCGTGGTGAAATGAGGAGCTTTCAAGGCTTAGACCAAGGATCAAAAAGTTCTTCAATACAGCCAAGGCGTCGGGATCCTAGGAAGAGTATAAAGGCTCACCCACGAAATGAAATAGAAAAATAGTACTACATGAGTAGAAAAATAACGAAAGCGAAAAGAAGCTGATGGTCTCAACGCACTTTATTGACTCGGAGGCTGATGGCCAACGGTCTCGTGCGATATTCACGAAAGCAAGGATTAGATGGGCTGTGACGAGATACATCCTGTGTTTTTGCAGAGGAGATTCCAACATATCGCCAGAGCATTTATAAGGGACGGCGCACTGGCAACCAATCCCTTGCCTCAATCTCGGTATGTCGAGCAATCAAGAAAGCCTACAGCACTCGCTCTGCAGAGTCTAATTAGAATCCTTGAGAACTCACTGGACGTGCGGGAGGTAGCAGTTGGCTGCTCTCTTGATATTGAGGGTGCTTTGGTAACACCCCATATCACATCATGTGCGAGTCGTTGCACAAATCAGAATTAATGCGACGACGAGGAGATGGGCTAGTCAAGTGCTACAGGATAGGACCATTAAGTACACCATAGCTCTTCATCTCCGCTGCAAAAGGGTGTCTGCACGGCGGAGTTCTTTCACCTCTTCTATGGTCCATTGGAGTAGATAATCTAATCGCTGCGTTCATGTGGCTTTCGTTATACAGGGAAAATTTGGGAGCACTATCTCTGGGCTTCTCTAGTGGAAATTTATGTTATGTGGAAGAGTGGTGCAGATGCGTTGGATTAAATATAAACTGCATCGGTTACTCTAGCGAGGTGAACTATTTGGAGGTAACCCTAGATGATCACCTCTCCTGAATTACCCGTATATGTAGATAGAGTGATCGGGAGGGCTACAGCGGATTTATGGACGTGTTAAAGCTTCATCGGTGGTGCCTGGGACATCAGTCCCAGGAAAGCACTGTGGCTATATACGGCCCATACTAGGTCCATCGCCACCTATGCGTCGACCATATGGTGCCGCAATGCTCAGCAGGCGGATGTGCGGGCGAAGCTGGAAAAGCTTCAGAAGTTGGCTTGCTTGGGATTTACCGAGGCAATGAGAACGACTCCCACTACTGCATTGGAGGTTATGATTAGGTTGCCACCACTGCAGCTCTACATAGCAAAGGAAGCTAGGCTAGTGACTTGCCGACTTCTCTCTGGCGAGGGCGAGATGTTGCGAAAATTGGCCCACAGGATTCACAGAGATTTTATTGAGAGCGGTCCAATTCTCGAAAGAACCATGTCGGATTCCTGTCTACCACGGTACAATTTCGACTGCAGGTACAGGATTCTGATTCCCGATTGATAGACGTGGGGTCGCTGCGGTCCGGTCCTGAGTCGGTTTCCAGAGTATGATAGGCGGACGTGTTCAAAACGAATTCGGGTGTGGATTGGAGTGTGTATGGTGTCCGACCGGATACACATATATATGTGAGCCTTGACCCATATTGCACTGTGCTCCGCGCCGAAATACATCCAATAAAGATGTATCTGAGAGTCAGTTTGGGAAGGCGATATAAAATTCGTACCATTTATGTACTCTCAGGCAGCAGGGCGGCATTGTTGGTGCTTTGGTCGTCCCAGGTAACATCCAAAGGAGGTGATCCTTCCATCATGCTCGGGGAAGTTCACCGCAGAGTTGCGAATTAAAGACTTTATAAATTATGAAAGTAGGTCTGATGGCCCGTCTTTTTTCAAGTTCTTTGACCAATCTTCAAACGGTTCTGCGGTCACTGCTAAAAAGTTGTTATGAAAAGAAGGAGATAAAAGTGAATTGACCATACCCTCCCAAGGGTGTCGTACAGAATAGCGCAACAGCCGATGGAAAATACCGAAATGTGTGTATGAAGGCCAAGGTTAACATGGAAGAGGTCAGTCGCAAAGAAAAAAAGCTGGTGGTCGGTGGAGAGCCTTTGTGGTAGTTCTATGTTCACAAAAAAAGTGAGATAGAAAAAAAACTATTAAGCACTGTTGAAATCTTAAAAAGTAACAAAAAATTAAAGAAAACAATATAATGGAAAATGTTCCTCTTTGTTATTAATTTTTTTTTAAATTCTGCATATTAACAGTATCATATTATAAGTAGAAAAAGAAAAAAACAATGTATTCTCAATTCTGTACATATTGATATCGTTTAAAATGTATACCGATTTTCTGCACAACTTATTAATTTACGTGTTTATATCATGTTAAATAATAACGCAGCATGAGTGATTGCATGTGAACATAGTAACATATATGTAGTTAATTTTCATTCTTAATATTGTTATAATGCAATGCAATTATGCATTTTCTGCATACTAAATTAAATCAACAAAAATATTAATACACGCATATGAAATGAACACTCAAAGTAGAGAATTGAGTGGAATACTTATGTTTCTTTTTTTATGGTCGATTCATTAGCCTAAATAGTCAAAACGATTTTGTGTTACATGAATTTATATTTCTATTATTTGAAAAAAATATTTATGTGATGTGCAATGTGTATGCTTATATATATATAGTAACTAACATTCAATTCATTATATATATATAATAATGAGTGATATATTCATTATTTTTCATTTATGTTATATTAAAACAAACAAAATCAATACGTTATGCTATACGAATTCACAGTTATATGTGTTTACAGAACAAAATTGTGGTAATTTTGTTCACAGAAAACAAAATTTTGTGCCTTTTTTTCCGGTGTGCATTACGCTTGGGAAGTCGTACGATTATAACATATTAATATGTTTTTTTTTTTTCTTTTTTCACTCCTAGCGAGGAGCACAGGGTTAGTGCATTATATCATGCCCTAGTTTCATTGCGTCATAGAGTTTTAACTAGGTAGGTGACTAGCCTGCCGTAGTTTTTTCTTTTCGTATTAAATATTTAAGTCGATTATTTACTGTTTCTTTTTCTTCCTTTTTAATATCAAATATTATGAATATATGAAAATTACTTGTATAATATTTATAATATTTATTACTTGTATAATTTTCATAAAAGTCATAAAAGTATTAAATATAATTTTTATAGTGACCTAACCGGGGTTCGAATCCGAGACCCTTCGGTTAAAGGATCAGTGCCATAACCACTGCACCAATAGTCAGATTAGTATGTTAGTATGATTTATTTTCAGGGCGATTTTTCGCGGCAAAATTGTCAAATTCATAGATTTATATTTTATATACATTTTCCCTTTCGGAATGAAACGTAACTACCGCCGCGGATTTTGGATAACAGAGAGAATTTAGATAACAGAAAATGAAGTTTAATTTCTTGCGAAGAAGCAAAAATCTTTAGCTATTTTAATTATATATTTTGTTTAAATTTGGGGTTTCACCTGTGGTTTGTTTTTATTTTGTTAACTTTTTAAGACTGTAATATACAATGTATTTTGGTTTTTTAAATTACATAATTTTTTAAATATATAGATACTTGTAGTAGTTTAGAAAAACCGGTTAAATAATCAGAAAAGAAAAATATTTAAAAAAAATCATCTTTCTATTGCGTAAATACCGAAGACGTGTACATCTGGCGCCCTTAAACATGCCAGTTTTTTAAATATAAAAATAAGGATTTGATACGACGTTATTTTGCAAGACGTAATGTTACACCGCCGTTTTTTTACTGAAAAATATTTTGCTGAGATATTTTGAAGCCCAAAAGTGCCAATTTTAGAATTTTCTGCGGCCCTTCACAGCAAGCTCTGTCGAATGTTCAGATCTTTAGCACTTCCTAAAGTACTTTTTTAAGCATAATTCAGACACAGATAAACATTATTTTTCTCAAGGCGGTATGAGTCTGTAGTTTACATGTAATTCAGTTATAGCTCCGATTTTTTATAACTATTGCTTCAGTGATAAATTATTTCAATCAACTTGGTATATCATATCAGTAAACTCAATTGCAAAAATGTAGGGTTTGTTTTAAAATAGCTTTAATTAAAATAAAATTTGTTTATCATTTTTACCTTTTCTTATGCCTTTTTTTCTTTTTCTTTTTGTTTTTTTTACTAAGAATTGAATCTGTCACTTTTTCTTCTATAATATCTGCAAAAGTTTGCTTGTCTGTAGAGTCTAAATGCGAATTTGAACGTAGTTTAGTATGTTTCTTTTCCAGTTCAAGTGGTTTTTTCCTGCTTGAGTGTACTGGTGATGGTGGTGTAAACATTTCTGTTACTCTGGAAGTTCGTTTTGTAGAATAACTTTCTTGTTGGTATTGTTTTTCAATTTCCAACGGCGACTGCGACCTGAAATTACTGCATTTTATTATGAAAAAGAATTTAAAAAAATATAAAAAGGATTGGGAAATAATTACGTCTTTAAAAAGAACTTTTTTTATGGTCCACACTTTCACGATTTATAGATCATAAAATAATATAAAAAATAATATAAAAAATTTTTTCTTGGTTCATTTTTAATATGTAAGTATAAAATTATTTTAAATCTAAAAAAAATTTTTTTTTTGTTTTGACGTTTACGGATGATCAAAATTCAAAGTCAATTACGGATAAAAAGTTTACTACATTTCTGTCCGTACAAGTTTTATACGCCAGACAGTTTGCAGACTGAAAACAAAATTTTGACGTTGAAGAATTTGCGGAAAACTTGCATAATATACTCGTATGTATACATTAATTTCTCTTACACAGTAGATTATAGTATTACATATGTACTTAGAATATCAGATATAATTCAGTAATAAAATAGAATTGAAGGTATCATTTTAATGTTTTAATTTATTACCATCCAGATACAACACTGAATAATCAATAGAATAATAAAATTTCGTTTTGACTTAGAGGAAATTGTTGCTCTAAATTCCATTTCAATATCTCAAGTTAACAAAAAGTTTTAATTGATTGAACTTTAAAGAAACTCATTGTTCTCTGAAATATCTTCCTCTCTCTTAAAAGCCGTGAAAATGTTAGTTATTAAATACTGCATCCAAACAAAAATCAATTACTGCATTCTGTATATACCAAGATAGAAATGCTAAGCGTCTATCAAAAAAATGCCTAGCTGTTAAATTGATTTTCTTGATTGACAGTTACCTTATACTCGTTCTTGGTTGTTTTTAGAGCAATTTCTCTTTCATTCATCAAGTCGGATGTTACTCTAAATTCAGCAATTATAGATAAAAATTAAATTTTATTTGATCAAAAGTTCGGTGCAACCCCCTCCATTGCGAGTGTAGTAACACCATAAAAATAATAATTTCTTGATCGAAATCTGGTAAATATTTTCCACATGACGAAATAAAACATTCATTTGATTAACAATTGGAGTATCTTGACTTCGAAATTGGCACAGCCATTTATTATCACTTTTTTTTATAAATTTTTTGCTATTTATTTAAGTTAAGTTTGGGGCTATTGTTTTTCGTAGTAAGCTTTATGGCTTCTTCTACCGCGGCATATCATACGTGAACGTTACAAAAACAAAATGGCCGTTCAAATTTACCATTATCTAAAACCCGTTTTTTACAAATTTTTGATATCGTTTTTCTTCTATACCTCAGGCTGCAGGAATCTGAAATTTTAGTAGCTCTTAGATAGATTCATAAATGGTTAATGTTTTGGAAGAAAATTCCCCCCCCCCCCCCTCAAGTTAACACTTCTGGAAATTGGTAAAATTTGAGTTTTTGTTCCCTTATATTTTTGAAACTGCAAGCTTTTACAAATTTCTATAAATGCATAAAGTTAACGTTAAATGCCATATCATTAAAAAATATAATTATTTTGCTTAACTTGGGCAATTAACCTTTAAATTCGACTATTTTGTTAACCCCTCTTTAACTTTTTTTTTTTGTTTTATTTCAAAGATTGCAATCTTTGTTTTATTGAAGGATATTATATGGAATTTTCGAAATATATTCGTATATGAATGAAACTAATTTTAATAACGTAGTACACAGATTGTTTTTAAAAGCAGTAATTTTACTTGTTGAGTGAAGATCAGTTTGAAATCAGTACCCCAAGTGACATTGGTCCAGGACTAAATCATAGTTCCGATCTTTCACTAATCTTATGTGTAGAATGAATTGGCAAGGTACTTACGCAGGTTTGAAAAATGCTAAAAATTTAGCAGCTAGCCGCTTGAGGAAAGAGTGTAACCTGTTCTGTTGCAAACCGACATTCTTTTTGCATCTGTTAAACATTATTTAACATTCTTTTTTAACATATATTTTCTTTTGATGTCAAGATTTGCAAGTCGTTTTAAATATTCTGACTCGTAGAAGCTCTCGCATTTACAGATATCTACAATAGCGTGGAATAGTTTGGCGACCGGCAAAATTTGCTGTATTCATTTGATCAGTATTTTCGTTATCTTTTATCCTCTCTTGTTTTGGAGGAAAAGTGGTTTAAATCGATTCTTTGTCTCATATAGTGCTATTGCTGATTTTTCTGATGAACCGGGGTTCGTTTTATTAATGAATTTTTTTATTTTTAAAACTATTGATAACAGATGCATAGTATACCTCTCTATTGCCTCAAATTAGTAATTATGTTTCAGCCCATGATATGCTCTGTTGGATATATTTATGCTTCTGTACTCTAGGAAAACTTTTCAATTATTCAATTTCCAGACAAACTAGGCATTTGAGAAGTGTACTAAGTTCGTTGGATACTTTTACTTCCAATTAGTATATCTTCTAGGAAGGGTTAGCATACGGTTCTTGTGATAATACGGATGTAGTACTGCAGGAGTTTCAATCTAAGCTTCAGAGCCGAACTTAGATTTTCCCGCATTCGCGTCCCCTTTCTGCAGTGTGATAATGATATTTCTAAATACTTCCGTATTTCAGTCCGTGCTACACATTCCAGAATTTCCCACATTTATTTGCTTCAACGTTGCTGATATTTTCTATGTCAAATGAAGTGTATAAGTTCGATTCCTCTTGAAAAATTTCTTCACATATGCGCTGTAAGTTAACCTTGGCATAAACGTTTTTTTTCCTATTGGACTGCGGGGAAGAAATAATGTTTTTGTTTGAGTGGATCGTCATTTTTTTTCCTTGGTTGGTTTGATGTCTTGTTGTGTATACTTGTGAACACAACATTAGGACATCAACATAAGTTGCTGCTCTCTCCAGTTCGTACAGATGCATTGCTGAATGTTAAGAATTTTTGAAAACACCCACTTTTATATAATAATGACATAATTTTTATAATAAAGAAAAAACTTTTTTTGGACAATTAGTACATTGTGTTATATATAGCATCTCGTCTGTGTTAAGTTACGTATATATGTATACATAAGTATAAATAAAAATCACATACGTATATGTTTATTAATATACAAATCATACGGTTATACCAAAGAATTCCTAACTGAAATTTTGTAATTGCGCGTTATAAACTTGGAAAGGAGAAAGTTCTATATTGATGTGTGCCACTTTTCAACTCATTAATTAAAAAAAACTTTATTTCACAATAAATTTTATTTTCCAATCAAAATAAAATTTATTTATTCAATTAAAATCATATAAGGGCATCGTGAATTTAAAACTAAATGATTATTTTCCTTATTACCACGCCATGTTTACTAAATTTTTTAAATTCAAAAAACAAATTTTGAGTTTTTTTTCGAGGAATTCGATAACACTTTTCACATTTGATTGTAATTTTTTTTACAAACAAAGTACGCAGTTTTAAAAGTTGTTCTTAGTATAAATTTCAAAAGCATATTTAATAATAAATATTGTTTTAAAGTACTTGAATTCTTTCTTACCTTTTGAAATTTTTGAAAAAATTAATTTCACAAAATCTGCACTGACATCTACTTTGAAAAAATTTCCAATTCACGGGTATTTCAAATCCACAATTTTTTTGATGTGTGTTAGTGGCACAACAATATGACGTATTTGTTTGTAGTTGTGAAATCGAACAATTGCAATAACACATAATTATATTTTGCTTTCCATAGTTCAAAACTCTATCCTTGGTGATTTTTTTATTTCTCTGATTCATATATTTATATTTTTTCATATTACATATGAAGTTTTTATTTTTCATTTTTGGTTTAGTTTTTTTAAATCGATCATCATGCTCAAAAAAAATTTGGCTTTTTTTTTTTTTCATCGAATTTTTCGGTTTACCATACATTTTGATTATAAAAATTTTAAATCGGTATAATTAATTTAACTAAATTCTATAATACATTTGTTTTTTGCTTTTTTATGGAAGACTTTAGTTCGGTATTTCTAATTTAAGTATTTTAATTCATTATTTTAAGTACACATTATTGGAAGACTTGGTTTACACAAAAAATATTTAAGTACGATATTATGCTAAAAAACTGATAATTTAATAAAAATATACCGCGCGGTAAAAATTGATTTTGCAAAATATATTTACCTACACGAACAAAACATCAACTCGCTTAAAAAAATCATTTGTGTCTCGCTTGAACAATCACTTTATAATTTATTTGGGACACATTATATTTTTAAATATTCAAATTGATTTCATAAGTTTTAATTTTTTTTTGTAAAAACATGTATACTTAAATAAAATTATAACGAAAATATGAGTTACATATGCCAAATAGAAGAAAATAATACTTATAAAAAAAACGTTTAATAATTACACACATATGTACGTTAGCATCTACTAAACATGTAAAATAATTGAAGTTGCGCACTACACTATTCTTCATTTCACTATTCCTTCAAATGGGAGGTAGAAGTAGTTATTACTACCTTATAACAAAAGGCGTATATTATATCTATATAATTCGTGTATATATGCGTCTTTGCTTATTCTCATATTATTTTCCCTTATTATCCTTAGAAGATGGGCCATTAAGCATAATGCTAAACATAAATATTGGTCTAGTTTGAGTAAAAATTTTGTTGTTCTTATTATTATGTTGCTAAATTTGACGAGTAATTTCATTTACTATATTCTGCTAACAAATTTGCATAACTTTTGTCATATTTCAACAGACAAAGAAGAAAATTTTCAGTTTAACAGAAGAATAAAACCCTGCTTTTGACAAGTAAAGTCATAAACACATAAGTTCTTAAATTTTATCCCTCTGATTACTTATAGACAAATAATTCTTAATCCTGTTAACATTTTTTAAATTATATTTAACATTGACCGACTTTATTAGGCAGGACGAGGAGCACTCACGCTTAAAGAAATTGGTGTTCCTTTATTATACATACATACTTACTTTGAACAGTAATTTGCCAGAGTCGGGAGAAGTAATAGAGACTACATTTGCCGACAATACAGCAATATTATAACGGCAGTAGGACCTATTGTTGAAGAGTCGGCAACAGTTTAATTTAGCAATAAAGTAAATTGAACAAACAAATGGAAGATAAAATAAAAGTAAATCTGCGCTTGTGAATTTCACAAGCGCAGATTTACTTTTATTTTATCTTCCATTTGTTTATTTAATATGAATTTAGTAAAAAAAAACAGATTAAAAAAAAAACAAGTAAAAACGTTTCAGTCGGTAAAAACTGAACAATACCCTGCACTTTGCAAAATCTGAGTTTAAAAATTTGTTTTTGAAATCTTTAGAATTAACTTTGATTGTTAAATGGCAATTGCTCAAACGTGTCAAATGACTCAATAGAAACTTCACGGATATTATGTCTGACACGGCTGGGAGTTTCACGAATAGCTTTAATATTTTTCTAAATGCTTAAAATTGTCTTTTAGAGTTCTATGGGAGCTATTCGAACCTGTCAAGCAACTCCACGGAATTTTCAGATATATATCTGACGTGAAATTGGATACCCGACTCTCGAGTTTCATGAATCTAGTTTAATATATTTCCAAATATTTAAAATTAGCTTTCGGAGTTGTATGGAAGCTACCCAAACCAGAAATATATCTAATCTGAAATTGGCGCTCGAATGCCAAGTTTCATGAATCTAGCTTTAATATTTTTCCAAATATTTAAATTTTTTTTGTAGAGTTCTATGGCTGCTATCCGAACCTGTCAAGCCATTTCCTCAAAACTTCAAAGTTATATCTAATCTGAAATTGGACACACGACTGCTGCGTTTCATGAATCGGAGTTGTTATGACAGCTACCCAAACTAGTGCAGCCGTTCCATTAAAATTTTTAGAATATATGTAGAAAACAGGACACACTTTTGCAAATTTCGTTAGCACAAAAGAAAACACTTGTGAAAGTTTGGTGTCGATTGCATTATTCGTTTCTGAAGTATCGTGCGATCGGACGGACAGACGGACATGTCTAAATCAACGCAGAATATTACGCTAAGCAAAAATATATACACATGCCCATAGCGGAGACGACTCCTTCAAGTGGTTACAAACTCCATTTTTTACGATTGGAAAATTTCGGAAAATAATTCAGATTAGTGGCCTGATAGATATATGTATATGGCATTAGAGAAGACTGTTGACCTGTGTACATGTTATAGGTCTAAATTGGAACACACAACAAAGTGTTGACATACTTATAACCAATTAATAAATACTGTATGCACATATATACATGTAAGTTATATAATATCTTCTTCTTCTAATATAACCCGAAATCCAATAATTTAAAATATACTTTTGTTTTCTTTTATATTTTATTTTTAATTATCGTATATATCCCATTTCAATATTGTTCAAATAATACTTTTGGTTTTACTTCTTTTGATTATTTAATTTACACGTGTTGGGGTGAGCCAGTCTCACACTAAGGGTCAAGATACTTAAGTAACAAAAATGAGAAAAGAAAACCCAAAACGAAAATAGAATCTAGCATTACCAAAAAATTTAATAACAATTTTTTGTTGTTCCGTGTTGTATAAAATTTATATATACATTAAAATTGTTGTTTACGTTTCTTATCTTGTTGCGCAACATTTATGCCATAATAAATTTGGTTTTGTTGCGTAACAAATTATTTCGTGTGAAAGTATTCAAAAATCTAAAAATAATTATTTCAGCAAATTGATCTCCTTTGAAAGAAAAAAAAAATTATTAATAAATTTGTATTTAGATATTTTTTTTTTGTAAAAGACAGGAAAAATTAAAGCTTGCTTTAATTTGATGACAACATAATAGCAATTCAAATCGCCGTAATAATAGATTTCGAAATTCACTTAATATGGAAAATTGTCCAATTTCGCACCTGAAAGCCAATTACCTATAGTAGAACTCAGTATAGAAGATAAGAAAATTGATTGCCTTATAGATACTGGTGCTGCCACGTCACTTATAAATCCACATATTTTTGCGGTGGAGAGACAATAAAAATTAAGAACGCCTACATGTTTAACTACTCTAATGGAAGATATAATAATACAACGCGAAATCATTACAAAAACTACTTCTAACGAAAAAACAACGATGTGTTGGAAGGTTTACAATTTAAATAATAGAACTTTTGATTCCATCTTGGGGCAAAACGTACTTGCACCAATTGGCGCTGAGATATACTTTCTAGGGAATACAATTGAAATTAATAGTATTAAAACTAAATTTAAAAATTCTTGCCCATATAATGAAATTTTTCAAATGGAAATTTTGAATATAAACCATTCTAATATCATTCAAAATTTAAAAACTGAACACATGAATAGTGAAGAATGCAAAATTTTAAAAGAAATACTATCCAGAAATAATTTATTTTATAAAGAGGGAGATGCTCTCATACATATAAACGAGATAAAACACTAAATTATAACACAACATTCACGACCCACATATTCAAAAACGTATCGTTTCCTCAAAATGAACGAAATTGAGCAACAAGTAAAGTAAATGCTCACGCAGTGTATAGTCTAAACGAGTAATTCAGCATATAACTCTTCAATCTGGTTGGTTCCTAAGAAGAAGGATAACTCAGGGTTTAGTTAATTATAGGAAATTAAACGAGATCAGAACTGATGATAAATTTCCCATCCCAAATTCCTCCCTTTTCGACAAGTTGGATAGAGCCCAGTAGTTTAGCACTTTGGATTTGGCGCAAGGGTTCCACCAAATATTAGTAGATAAAAAGGATAGGTGCAAAACGGCATTTTAAACCCCCCAAGGTCACTACGAATTTCTTCGTATGCCTTTTGGCCTGAAAAATGCTCCTGCTACTTGTCAGTGGGTCATGAACAATGTTTTGAGGGACATAATAAATAAAATTTTCGTCATTTACATGGGCGAAATATTGATTTTCTCAACTTTTATATAGTTGCATTTGGAAGCTATAAACATTATATTTAAAAGACTAAAGAAATACAATTTAAGACTACCTACGACTAAAGAACAGATTAACAGTTTCCTTGCCATCACGGTGGCTAAGCCCATGACTAACTATTTGAAAAAAAATAAAAAGATCGACATTAATAATCAAAGTTACGTTTTTTCTTTTAAGAAATTAAAAGAACTGATAACAATTATCCAACGAATTATTGTTGAGTTCTTGTTAGTGTTAACAACTGGTGCCGTCTTGTCACAAGATAGCCTCCCGATTTGCTTTGCAAGTAGAACTCTTAATGAGCATGAAACTCATTATTCTGCGATGGAAAAAGAACTTCTCGCTATTATTTGGTTCACCGAATATTTTCGCCCATACTTATATGGCACTAAGTTTATTACTAATTAGAACAGACCATCAGCCGCTTACGTGGTTACATTGACTCAAGGAACCTGATTCCAAATTACAACGGTGGAAAATCAGGTTAAATGAATATGAGTTGGATATAGAATATTTAAACGGAAAGGAGAATAAAGTCGCTTTTTCTCAACGGAATAGATATAAATAAAAACGAGAAAAAATAGAGTTGACCGTGTCAATTCTGTGATACCCGTACAAATTTGTTATCCTATGTGCAAATAAATATGTCATAGCTGACTGTGGGACAGACTATGACTTTAAGTTGCCATATTACCATATTAATTTATGCAAAATTTCAGTACCGTGTTTTCAATATTTTCTAAGATATGGACAAACCACTGTTGAAGTTGTATGGCAGCCATAAGGAAGAGCCAAGCAATTTCAATGTTTTTTATCAAACACATTGGCCCTACTAATACATTCGCTTGTGTGAAATTTCAATATTACACCTTTTTTAGTTTCTAAGACAAAGCCAACTAACTTTGAAGTTGTATGACATATACCAGAAAGAGCCAAGCAATTTCAACAACTTTAACCAAACACATTGGCCCCAAAAATATATATTTGCTTGTGCGAAATTTCAATACCACAGCTTTTATAGCTTCTTAGATATAGCCAAACAACCAATACCCCGATCATGTCCAATTTAAATAAAGTTGTGGCATATACTATCATAAATTATTTGTGAAAATTTGGTGAACTTAGCTCAATTACTTTTTGGGTTATCGTCGGAACGGACGGGTGGACAGAGAAAGTTTAATCGATTCCAAATCCGTCTAAATCACAAATGCGAAAAAATTAAAAACGAAAATAACAGTGATATGGCTACACTTCATAGTGGCGTCGAAGATTTGACGACCACATTCCGACCGTAGACCATTCCGTAAATAAATACCTTACACAGATTCACATCCTCCCTCAAGAATTGGTAATTTTTCAACATTAAATGACGAAAAATACGAAATAATACAAAAAAAAATTAATTGAGCTATTTGGAAATAATGCTTGTATAAAATTTTATAAATGTTCAACTT